GACGTTTCGCCGGCCTCGTAGTCGGCATCATCAGTGAGCCTTGCCATTCTCCGCGCCAAGATACGAACTCATCAGTGGGATAAAAGGGTAAAGAGTAGATAGATAGGCCAGGACTGAAAGATGTGTCATAGTGTAAACGTTTTCGGCAGAATGTTTGTCGAGAGATTGACTTCACTTGTCTCTTTGACGAGTTTGTATCTTGGCGCGGAGAATGGCACGGCTCACTGAGGATGCCGACTACGAGGCCGGCGAAACGTCTGAGAATGTACCAAGTCCACTGTCAGATGCTGGGAATCATGACAACTACTATGGCAGACTACTTAGGACTAGGTGCGTTCTACTAAGTCCCCATGACAACAAGACCAAGTTGCGACAACGAGGTCAACCAGCTTCTATAAGTCGAAAGGAGACTGCGACCATACCCGAGGCCACAACATCTTGGTCTTCACATCTTCAAAAATAAACGAGGGTGAGATAAAAATGTCAAGTCCAGCAAAATCCATTGTAAACTCATGGATACACCCAACTGGGATTACCGATTCAGCGATTCGGCCATCGGCTGCCAACGGGCCGAAGGGTCGCCGGTGTCGAGGCGGTCCACTCCCTTGTCCTGCCAGCCTCCAATCACATACAATGTGGTGCCCATGGAAACGGCGGCGTGTCCCCATCGCGGCCGGACCAGACGCTGCGGCATCATCTGCCAACCAGCCCCGAGGGCCGAGGTATCCAGTCTCTCGCAGAGGTCAGATTTTGCCCCTTTGCAGAGGTTTGGGCGAGCAGACAAACGAGAACAAGGCAAACAAGTTGATCATCTCGTCAACTCGAGGGTCGACAGCCTGTGATTATGGCCAAGACAGAAATGGTGACATACATTTCCATTTCCAATAAAAAGTTGCAATCGGTCTCATCGGAAACCGAAGGAGCATTGCCTGGCAGTAGTGAATGTAGTTATGTTGTGTGAAGAAGTCCTTGACCCATCGTCACACGACCTCGATGAACATGTGCTGAAATTCCGTCCGTCATGTGGCCGACATCACATCGAGGTCATACGATGGTGGGCCGAGGGCTTGTTGGCTCAAATTGATGGCAATTCTCCTTCGCTTTCCGATGCGACCGAATCGCGAATTTGTTTCCAACCAACTTAACCGCCCAAACCAAGAGTTCTGTAGCAATAAATCACCGGGGAATTCTTTGAAAGCCCCATTCTTTCTTCACATATTCTCACCATCGACTCGTTCACCGGGATCGCCGCCGAGGGCGAAGATCATCTTGCCCACGCTGCAGAGGGCCAGATCGTATCTGGCCACAGCAAGACAGCCCAGTTCGGTCCATCGAGACGTGGTCAAGCTGAAGACGTGAGTGGTAGCAACAGCCTGTCGTGTCTCCGGTCTATATCCGCCAACAAGAAAGATCCGGTTCTCGTGGTCGACAAGGGCAGCGGCTGATTGAAGGGCCGTTCCACCTGGCAACCGGCACAGCCTTCGGGACTGAAGTCCGAGGAGATTGGATAGCGACAGACAAATCGCCTCAGAATTGGTCTGAGCTGTCCTCCAAGCCAAACCGCCAAAAAGACAAATAACGTCGACCTGAATGAAAAAATGGGCGAAATTGTGCAGATAGAACAACAGAAAAAACATCTTTATTTTGGCAATTTAAAGATGAATAGAATGCCAATTGTGGAGGAGGCTTAAATTTATTCGCCAATGCACCCAACGGCACTACTTATGTGCAATGATAGTAGTTTCAGAGACTATCCGTAATTTAGAAATAAGTACTTTGTATATGCGAAGAAAAGTTGAATTTTGAGGATTATCTTGCTTCATAATTGTTGAGCACACTTCCGTTTCGGATAAAAGTGCTTTATAAAAAAAGATTCTCAGGTCGACGGCGGATTTCTCTTGACCAGCTGTCGAATGGCTTTACTGGAACATACCTTTTGACGCTGTTTTCGAGGCAATCTCCCTCGATTCCGGTGAAAACGAGCCATGCTTTCGTCCGTTGTATAAAGGACACCATCAGAGCAGGGTATTATCATTACAACCATCTTCAAACTAACCGGCACATCCCTAAACGCTGTGCATTGATGAGGTATAAAGTGATGTGGTTAGCCCAAATCTGATGTCAACATTGAAGAATGCGTATGTGTGTGTTTGTGCCTTCATATGTTCGCATGTATACGTAACCAGTAGTGATGGGTTAAATTAATTAGTTATAGATTAAGTTTTTGATATATGAGTTTCATTTACCCTATTTCGTGTAAGGTGATAACGGACTAGTAGTTGAAAGTACCCACAATCATATGAGTAGAGCTGAAACTTCTATTGAATTTCACATAGCCTTGTTTCTCAAAATGTGTTCTCATCCAGAGTGGACTGCAGTTTCGACCTCGCATAGTTCTTAACAACGTCCCCAGCAAAAGTCAAACCATGATTCTGCAGAGTGTAATCTCGATACGTTAATCACTAGACCACATTGCCACGAGTGTTCTTGGGTCGCAAAGCAGATGCTAATTTCAAGGAAGGTCAGGTATGTTCCATATCACATTTTGTGTTGGGATTGTTGATGAAGCAAACTTATATTTGCCATAGCAATCAACGACATTACTTTTTTCGTTATTGAGTAGGTCCGTACCAGTCCGTTACCACCTTCAACGAAATAGGGTGAATGCAACTTAAAGTAATTAGAACATAAAAAGTGGCGTTTGTTCTCGGCCATCAAGATGTGATGATTACCATCAATTCCTCTCTTTATATTTTAACCATCTCTCCGATTCCACAAGGTCGGACACACGTCTGGCTATGTTTATGAGCGTTTTGTCTTCATGTTAGAGATAAATCTGGACTAAAATGTACAGAAAAGTGACCATGTTTTCTTTTA